TTTTTATAAACTTTTAAAAAAATTTATATTTCATTTTTATTAAATATTTTTATCTTTTACTTTACTTTTAGGTGCTTTGGGGAAATATTAGGGATCTAAACAGACCCCTGATAATTCCCTTTTAAAATAGAAAAAGAGATTGAGAACACAGAGTCCTCAATCTCTTTTTCTACAGCCCCTGTTATAAATCAACTGGAATACTCTATGCTGAGTGTTCCTGTTCATTTATAACATGTGGGCATAGTGTGTTTACTATAACCACAATCATGAATGAACAGGAGGTGATGTAGATCACTTCCCATCTATTCATAATTGAGGATATAGTAAACGTACTATGTCTCAATTATGTACAAACACTCAGCGATCACTGATTGCTGAGTGGTTGTACCTTGCTCTCCTTCCTGACAGTTGTCACAGGAGGCTCAGCTAGCGGTGCGGGAGGAGGGCTCAGCCTCCTGTAACAGTGCTGGCTGTCTCCGCCCACCCACCGCTCTGCCGATCTGTAACAGGAGGCTGAGCGGTGCGGGGAGGAGAGACACCGGCCGCTCACAGCACTCTCCTCCCGCAGCACTCGGCCGCCTGTGACAGTTTCTCTCCCCCCACTTGGACACAGAGCAGTGCACAGCGGGTAGTAGAGAAAGAATGGATGCACCACTATAGCGGCAGAAAAATTGCACTTTCGGCATTTAGCCAAAAGTGCCATTTTCAGGTGATATGTTTTGGCGGACGATATATCGGTGCATCCCTATAAGCTTTATATCCAAACACTCCCAGGCTTCGATACCTGACCCACAGACGGGTCTTGCCGAGCAGTGCATTGGGACCGAATTAGGAATGTGCAGGTATACAGGTCCTGGAAGATGCAAGGACAGTGTGACAGCACAACATGCGCAGGTGTGCCAGAGTCGCATAATCTAAGGAGCTGCCTGGTCTTCACCAGAGCCACTGATGATGTGGATGTTGAGCTGCAGGGCAGCTCCCAGGTTGCGGCTCTCTGACACACCCGTGCAGGCACAGTGCCAGCGGGTACTCGGGAACTACAGCACGCTGGACAAGACACAGGGTACCTACAGGATACAAGGTACAGAAAAAAGGCACTAGCGGGAAGAGGCAGGGAACATGCGTGACACAGGAAGCAGAAACAGAAGGGAACACACAATAGGTGTACCCACAAGTACAAGAGATACACAGGAACACCAGAGGGGAATGCAACAGAGAAAGGAGAGGGTGCACTATAGTGCGGAGCAAAATTACCACAGGAAGCAGGAGCAGGAAGTAAACCACAAGAAGGCTGTCTGAAATACACTGGAACGAGGCTGCATGGAACAAGCAGCCACACAGGAAGAAGACAAACTATCAGGTAAGTGCAGGTGCAAGCACTCACTGAGGAGGGGATAACCATCCGCTTGCAGGACAAGCAGAAGTTCACTGGGAGCACAAGGAATCAAGGCTCACACTGGAAACATGTATAGCAGGGAAAAAGTACACACGGCATGGTGCAAGTACAGGCAAGGATACTGAGTGTACACAACACGCACTCTAGGTGATATGCACAGGGGAAGGTACAGGAAGACACAAATAGGAATACACTGAAAGCTGTGCAATGCTAGATGTACATAGCACGGCCACAGAAGTACCAGACGTTGTGCACAAGGATAGCGCTAGGGGAAAGTGGGTTGCACTGCAAGACACAGAAAAGGGGGTGTGAACATACAAGCAAGATGGGATGCTAACACACAGGAGCCACAGAAACTGTAACAAACAGGGGCACAAGAAAGAGCAAAAAGGGAAAAGCCAAACGAGAGGTTACCAGGTACACTGGAGTCACGCAGGAAGCACGCGGATACAGGGAAGCAAGCCAACACAGGAATCCAGGACAGTACTAAAGCACATGGGGACCACTGCACAGGAGAGATAGAGAATGCAGGGATCCAGAAAGGGACACAAGAGATCACAGGGGGTCCGGCGCAAGGGATAGGAATTGTTGCTCAAACAAAAAGCAACAAGTGAGAGTGCTAAGTAGAGGAGGAGTTGTGCAGATTGGTTGCAGCCCTTTGGAATCCTATAGGCTGACAGCCAAGCACCAGGGACCCACATGAAAATCTGGCATGGATTGCCGGACATTGTGACAGTACCTGGAATAATCATCAATGAAAGTCAGTAGATATCTGTTCCCTCCTGATGTGGGAGTTTTCACTGGTACGCACTAGGGAGTACCAGTGCAGATACGTGGCATTTTCATGAGAACTACCAGGGTTGCAGCGGTTGCAGCTGGGACCTGGCTCTGGCACTCCACCACTGTCCTGAAATCATTAGTCTGTATTGTTTTAGAAAAACTGTCACATGACAATAAACAAAAATGTATCAGTACTCGTACTTGTAAGTACTCAGCAAGTACCAGTACTCGTACTCGAAAAACTGGTATCTGTGCATCCCTTTATTTATATTTATAAAAATAAAATCGTACATTAAAACAGAGATGTACAATTCCTAGGAGCTCCGTGTGCCCCTTACAAATGACAGCTCCCTCCTAATTTTTGAATTTTTCTCTAGTCTAGTCTTGGAGCTAAAAAGTATCGGTACATGTACTCGTACTTGTACCGAGTACTGTACTTGGTATCTGTGCAACCCTAGTACGCACACATCACTGTGTATGAGCTCCAAGGGGTGGGTGGTCTTTCTTTGAGTGGCCTGTGGAAATGGGGTACATGTGGCCTTTGCTTCCATACAGCATTTGCATGTGATAAGCATTTGGTAGGGCAGTATGGTTATATCTTCTGATAAGCCTCTCTTTATGGTCTTTTATGGTTTCTGGGTTTTGGTGCCCTAGTCGTCTGCCATAGATGGATACATTTTTTTGTGTGGATTATGAGTGCCTGTTTTGACTTGTTCATCTGCAGTGATGAGCGTGTACAGGTGTTCATCCACTTTTCCTTTTGGAAGGATTTGCTTATTGTTTTGGATTGTACATTCATCACCATGAAATTGAACTGTGAGACCATTATTAGTAAGGGTTTTCACTGATCAAAGGCTTCCTTCTAGGTCTGGAACATAGTGTTTTTACGAGGATACTTTGCTTGTCCCCTGACGGTATGATGCAGTTCAACAATCCTTGACCATTACCTTCTGCAGTAATACTTTCCCATTTGCTAGGAAGACAGAAATCAATTTATGTGAAGAAGGTCTCATCACTGGTCATGTGACTCGTTGCACCTGAGTCAATACCAGAGGCGTAACTAGAAACCTCAGGGCCCCGATGCAAGAAGCCATGAAGGGTGACCAGTCTTTTTACAGCGAAAACATGCTTTGCTTTCTTTGTTTTGCTTTGCGTTCTCACGCACCTTAAGGGCTTTCTTGTTTTCTTCATTGTGCATATATTCTTTCCTTCTGTCATATTCGTTGATTAATTTTCCTTTGGCATTTTCTAGTGTTAGTTACTGCTCAGGTCTGGTTTCTAGAGCATTAATAAGAGCACTGTATGACTCTGCAAGGCTGCATAGCAGTAATTCTACCACGCAGTTGTTCTACAATTTCGAGCATCGCATTCACATGTTCACACATTTTCTGGTCTTTTTCTAGCCTCATCTTATATAGCTTGCTTAGCAGATATAGTTTACTGTTTAGGTTTGAATGCTCATGCAGTTTTTGTAATGCAGTCCACATACCTTTAGCTGTATTTGTTTTTCTTATGTGGAAAAGCTGGTCATTTTTCACTAGCAGACTTATAATTGCTTTTGCTTGCCTGTTCTTCATCCTCCGTCGGTCCATTAGTGCAGTGCTCCCCAACCTTTTTATTGCCGCGGACCTGTCAACGTTTGATCATTTTACCGCGGCCCGCTGAGGGGGGGGACGTTGATTGTTTATATTTTAGATTGGAATCACCTGTCCCGATAAATCCATATTTCAAGTAGGACTCATGGTATTGTCTGTTAAAAGTTACATGTTTCTTTGATGTTGAAGGCCCTTCTTCTGGCTCTTCACTGGGCCTTTTCTTTTTTTTTACCAAGGAAACTTTCTAACGACGTCTGTTTCGTACTAATTTTTGCTAATTTGTGGGTTAAATTTGAGCAAACACAATATACACGTACACCAAGCACTGTTAAACATGAGAAAGTACCGGTGAATAGAGAGAAGAGCGATACACACCTTCTCTTTACCAAAGCTACAACGCCACTGCCGCTTGCAGCCACTCGGCTCCAGACGTCACCTAAAACCGCCCCAATATCACGATATTTTGCGCATGTGCGGTATTGGTGCGGCTTTAGGTGACGTCTCTCAGCTCCCGGTTAACCTCTCGTTCTGGAAAGTCGGACAAACCCGAGAGAAATACACCACAGTAAATAAAATGGAAATAATTTAATGTTCCTTGGGCGGCCCGGTACCATTTGATCCACGGACCGGTACCGGTCCGCGGCCCGGGGGTTGGGGACCTTTGCATTAGTGGGTCTGTCTGTACTCAGTACTTGCCACAAGTCGTCTTTGCTTAGCAGCATTTCAAGCTTGAACTTCCATAGCTGGTAGTTGATATTGTTGAGCTTTGCAATTGCAAACTTCATATCTGAACTACTTGCCATCTTTCAGTAGCTTGGATGTGGCTCTTGTTGACGTGCAGTGTTCTGTTTAGTGCCTGGGCCCATAATCTACTGGTTATGTGTTTAGATAAAGCACTGAGATCTTGAGGAATGCTGAGTTCAGTGTTTATTACATTAGAATACAGCATGCAGAGAGAACTTCCAATGCATCATAGACAAACATGCACACAAAGATTAGCATAGACCAGCATTGCACCAGTGCCATCTACAGCTATAAAGACATAATATATGCTGTTGTATTTCCAACAACGGTGTGACTGTAAAATATATACCCATGCCAAAGGGCAATTGGGTGACACACATTATAAAATATTCAGTGAAAACTAGCTAGGATATGTTATTTAATTAAACTGAAAAGCAAGCTTAGGTGGCTTATGTGGTGTATTATTTAATTTAATTTTTCTTCAGAGTTTGCAGAAAGAAATTGCAGGTCATGAACCAAGAGTAGATGATGTTATCAAAAGGGCAGAGGCTATGGAAGGCGAGCCAGAAATGAACCCTCAGCCAATCAAAAAACAGCGCGAGTCACTACAGGAGAAATGGAATCACTTGAAGACCACAACACTGAACAGAGAAAAATCCCTTAACCAAGCAAATGATGCTCAGCAGTACTATGTGGACGCCAGTGAAGCAGAGTCTTGGATTGATGAACAACAGCTTTACATGATTGGGGATGAGAAGCAAAAGGTATTTTTTCACTATGTATAAGAAAAAGAAGTGTAAAAAGTAATCAAGTCATCATTCAGTATTTGAGATTCCAAAGTGGCCATAAAATAATACATGCACAGAAATAGCCAAAAAAATGCACTATTGTGCAAAGAAACTTAACAAAGTAAAGACAATATAAAAATAGTGTCTCCAACATTTTCTGGTCAAACAGCCAATGCAGCTCATTGCCTTGCAAAAGCATCTTGGCATTTTTGGAGCTGATTTTTTAACATTTTGGCAGACTTAACTGAGTTTGCCCTCTTCCAATGCTAAAAGCTCAACAATTACTGACTTTTTTATCTTCCACTGCTGTCATCTTCAATGCTTCTGCTGGATTAGAATTTTCTCTTTAACTATTGGGTAACCACTGGTTATGTAACTCCTGCATGTTCAGAAACATGGTATCTGTAAGTGCCTGTCAAAAATGTAGAGAAATACTTTGCTGTGCAATGTATATTTGTTTGATCTGGATGGGGAACAAAAGTAGCCACCCTGCAAAAGGAAGGAAAGTGTCGGCACCAATTCAGAGAAGATTTGAGGATCTTTAGCTGAGTGATGCACAAATAAGCTACATTTTTGTTTATAGTTAGGGTACTTGAATGCATTTTTAATATTTACCTCCTGAGTTTAGTGTCACTTTAAATTTAGTGTAAAGTTTAGTTTTTTCTATGTTGTGGGGCCACTCATTTACTTTCAGACTGAACATGTTACTCACTGCAAATAAAGGCAGCCTTGTGGAATGAACGAATATCTAGGCAGTCGATTTAGTCCCTGTTCACACCTAGGCGTTTTGACGCTCAAAGCTAAGCGCGGCAAAACTCTCAACACAAGAAATCCTATTCATTTCTATGGCCCCTGGTTACTCCTGAGAGTTTTGTCGCAAGATGTAACACGCTGAACGCTGGAAAAGGTAGGTGAGCTTTTTTCAGGCAGATTACAGCGCATTTGGCCGAATAGACTTCAATGGAAGCACATGAAAACACGCGACAGCAGCGGTTTGCAAATATCTGTGCACATATTTACACGATTGTGCGCACGTTGCCGCAGTGCATTTCAATCTGCTCTTTGTATATTTACGTCTAATGCGTGTAAAAATTTGCAAAACGCGCAAAACCGTGCCAAACACACTAGATGGTACACTAAACAAAACGTGTGCTAATATGCGTGAAAACGTTGATGTGTAGGTGTGAATGGAGACTAACAGAGGAACTTGTTCCAAAGTGATAACTTGCATTGTAAGATTACAAAGTGTGCAAGGCTCCATCTGTATGTCATATAGTATACAAAGTAAGGTATTTCAGGAGGCTTCAGTTTAAGTCTGCAGATGTTCATGCTCTTTGTTCCACACCCTAATAAGGCCTAATATTTAGATGAACAGGTCCTGGTGATGCCATTGTTTTTTAAATCAAATACTTAATTGTTGGAAATATGGTTCAGCACCTCACAATGTGTGCCTCTACTGTTTATGGGTAAACAATACAATTTAACATATTAGAGAGCAGAAAGTGAGTTAGAATAAATATGACATAGTAAGGGGCGACCTTATGCTTTTTGCCGCCTGAGGCAGGGAGTTGGGGGGATTTGGGTTGCTTGGGATGCACGTTATGGGAGGGTGGTGGAGGTGGTACACGTTACCTCTGACTGGCATCTCCTGCCCAGCTCACTGACGTTACTGGTTGCCAAGAGCTGGACGCGACGCTGGCCAGTATCCCAGGTTGCTAAGACCTCTTAGCAACCTGGGACACTCTGGCCGAAAAGGTGGTGGCAGGTGCACCTGCGCCTCCCCCCCACGTGACCCACATTGTTGCCACCTGAGGCAACCATTTCAGGCTGCCTCATTATAGGGATGGTCCTGTTGCCAAGTATTTAAGTCTGAAGAAGGATTAGATCAAATTAGATTAGCTTAATCACAACTGGATTCATGGAGGAGTCTAAATATTCACTCATTAAATAATATAGTTTTGCAGGCTTACCTAATATTAGGTTAAATATTCCCCCTTATTTAGCTTTACTTTACCTGAGTCTGACACTGCAGCTTAAGTAATGGCATCAGAGGATATCTAAGGTTGACTGTTTCTGCCCTATCAGCTACCTGACCTTCCACACGGCACACTCAGAAGCTTTTGTCAGGCAGTTGACAGGCACTGTCAGACTTCAGGTGGCATGTGCTCCCGATACAAGACCAAGTGTCAAACAATGTAAGTAAGTGAAAATGGGATGTAAATACAAATGGACTTTGCACTAAAAGACAGGTTTTACTTAAAAAATTAAATTAGGTCACCTCCCTATCTACATAGGAGATGTTAAAAGCACATCGGTGGGTATCAAAGATATAAAATATACTTACCTTAGAGTCAGCTTCTGACCATGGTGCCTAGACAGTGGTGACATCACCATTTTACTGCCAGGTTCCTGAGCATGCTGATCCCAAATCTTCTTGAGAGGTTTGTGATAATCAGTGTTCCAGGGATCTCCTCGGAAGGCTTGTGACACAGGCACACACTGTAAAAGATTCATTAGTATCATTTGGACCAAGGGCACACTTAATCTAATCCTTGGATTTCATGCGATTCTGATTCTTGTCAGGAAGTGAGTTTAAAATGGTATTTTTTTTCAGGAGGAGCCGGATGAAGAAAGTGTGGTGTTAATGTTGAAGAAGCACCTGATTTTGCAACAGGGCATTGAACAGTATGGAGAAAATATCAAAGATTTGGCAGAGCAATCTCAGAAGCTGCTGGCCTTGGATCATCCTGATGGGTATGGACAGAGAGATAACAGGCACCTCTTCTTCCTTTCATAAAATTGAATAGCTTATTAGCCAAGAATATACAGAATGAATGATCATCTCTTACTAGCTATTTAATGACCTGCAGAGTGATAATTTTGCTATGAATTTTGGACATATCTCCCATGACAACCTGTGGCTCAGAATGCAGGCAACCCAGGTGACTGTTACCTCTGCACTATGGAAATATTTGGTGATTTATATTTTGATACTCTCATGAGCAAGGTATTATTGCTTAAAAACTATGAGACTTTGCAGTACCAGTGTATTAAAGAACTATAATGTAACCATCCCTGGGGTAATTTTGATGAAAGGTAAATGCTGATAACTGGAACATATTCAATATAACTACCCGTATACAAAGGACCAGATTAAGAGCGTCACAGGCCTGGTGCTGAGGAATTCGGTGGGCCTTTTTACGGAAATTTTGACGGTCACCAGGGCCCTCTTCCTCCTGTCCGGGCTGTGATTTGTAGTCTCTCTACATACAGCATGGAGTCAGTGGTGGAGCGCAAGGGCCTGGCTGCTGCTGTGAGCCTGGTAGGTCTGCCACTGACTCCTAGTTGTATAGAGAGTACAAATCTCAGCAATACAATATACAGCAGTGCAGAATACCGCAAACTATAGAGGACTTCAAATCCCAGTAATTCATTGTACAGCAATGCAGAATACCCAGGGACGTAACTAGAAATCACAGGGCCCAATAGCAAAATTTTGTATGGAGCCCTGTGATTTCTAGTTACGCCCCTTGCAGAGCCTACCTGAGAGTTACCCTGCAGAGTCCACCATAGACTCTCTATGGTGGGCTCTGCAGGGCCTCAGGGGGGCTGGTCACACCCCTGCACACCTCTTACCTGTCATCCCCGATCAGCAGTCAGCTCCCTCCACCACTGGGCCCGCCTCCTCCTCCACGGTCCCCCGCAGGTCCCTGGCCTCCTCCGCTGGGCCCTGCCTCCTCCGCTGCCAACACCAAGTCCCGCCTCCTTCGATGCCGACGCCGGCCTCCTCCAACGCAGCTGCTGGCTGTCACTGACTCAGGTTGTCAGTGATCTGAACAGCCGTGCGTTTCTCCTCACAGCCGCCAGTGGCAGCCAGCAGCCTGCGATGCCATAACGACCCAGGGGACCTGCACCTCTCAGGGGGACCCCTTTCCTTGTCCAGGCCCCCCTGTGCCCCAGGCCTGATAGCGGCAGCCTGGGTCGCTATGTCAATAGTTCCGCCACTGAGAATACCACCAACTGTAGAGAACTACAAATCCCAGTAATACATTATACAGCAATGCACAATACCGCCAACTATAGAGGACTACAAATCCCATCAATACATTATAAAGCAATGCAGAATGGCACCGGCTATAGAGTACTTCAAATCTCAGCAAAACATTGTTAAGCACTGCAGAAAAATACCATCAGCTATAGAGTACTGCAAATCCCAGCAATACTTTATACAGCAATGCAGAATACTAAGAAGCTACATACTCTGTGTTGCTCCGGGTTCACGGCCTGATGTCTCAAGGGTCTCAAAAGTGCTGTGCGGTGTTTCAGGGGGTCAGTGCGGGCTCTCTGGTGGTCAGTGCGGGCTCTCTGTCAGTCAGTGGGGCTCTTAGGTGGTCACGACGGGCTATGGATGGTCAGTGTTGGCTCTGGGTGGTCAGTGTGGGCTCCAGGTGGTCAGTGCTGGGTCTAGGCGGTCAGTGCGGGCTCCGGGTGGTCAGTGCGGGCTCTAGGTGGGCAGTGCGGGCTCTAGGTGGTCAGTGCGGTGGTCAGTGCAGGCTCTTGGTGGTCAGTGCGAGCTTTGGGTGGTCAGTGCATGCGGTGGTCAGTGCAGGCTCTGGGTGGTCAGTGCATGCGGTGGTCAGTGCAGGCTCTGGGTGGTCAGTGCATGCGGTGGTCAGTGCGGGATCTGGGCATACATCCTCTGTATTGCTCCGGGTTCATGGCCTGATGTATCCAGGGTCTCAGGAGGGTTGTGCGGGGTTTCAGGGGGCTGTGCAGGCTCTCAGGAGGCTGTTCAGGCTCTAAGGTGGCCAGAGTGGGCACAAAGGGGGCCAGTTTGGGCACTAAGGGGGCCACTGTGGACTCCAGGTGGTCAAATTGGGCTGTTGGCAGTCAGTGTGGGCTCCGGGTGGTCAGTGCAGGCCCCGGGTGATCAGTGCAGGCTTTGGGCGATCAGTGCGGTGGTTAGTGCAGGCTCTGGGCGGTCAGGAGGGGCTCTGGGCAGTCAGTGCAGGCTTCAGGCGGTCAGTGTAGGCTCCAGGCAGTCAGTGTAGTGGTCAGTGTGGGCTCTGGGCCGTCAGTGTGGGCTCTGGGCCGTCAGTGTGGGCTCTGGGCTTTGGGCGATCAGTGTTGGCTCTGGGACATCAGTGGGGGCTCTGTGCAGTCAGTGGGGGCTCTGGGCAGTCAGTACAGTGGTCAGTGCGGGCTTTGGGCGATCAGTAGGGGCTCTGGGCGGTCAGTAGGGGCTCTGGGCGGTCAGTGTGGGCCCCGGGCAGTCAGAGCGGGCCTTGGGCAGTCAGTGCAGTGGTCAGTGCGGGCTTTGGGCAGTCAGTAGGGGCAGTGGCGGAGCTAAGGAACAAAGGGCCCTGGTGCAAGATTTTTTTTTGGGCCCCCCCCCAAAAAAAAACCCCCACAAACACAGCGTTCTCCTTCCGCAGGGCTCGGCCGGCTGTCACTTTCTCTCCTCCCCGCTGGGAGATGGAGCAGCGTCCAGCGGGGGAAAAAGTCTCCGTGTGGTCAGTGCGGGCTCCGTGTGGTCAGTGCGGTCTCTGGGCGGTCAGTGCGGGCTCCGTGTGGTCAGTGCGGGCTCCGTGTGGTCAGTGCGGGCTCCGTGTGGTCAGTGCGGGCTCCGTGTGGTCAGTGCGGGCTTCGGGCGGTCAGTGCGGGCTTCGGGCGGCCAGTGCGGGCTCTGTGCGGGCTCACCAGCATGAAGTGCTGTGGCTCTCCTTTCTGAGAGGCCCCAGTGAGTGGCCCTCTAATATGCCTGGATAGAGGGCCGCCGCTGCCTGATTGCGGCTGGTCACTGACCCGGATACCGAGGCGATCCAGGTCGGCCGGGCCTATTTTCAGGGGTGGGCCTGGAGCGGCAGCACCACCCACCCCTATGTTTATCCGGCCCTGCATGTACAAGACAATATGAGTGGATGACTAAAATTAAAACAATTGTTCCCAAATTAATCTATGACTGATGATTATACCTTCAATTTTTAAAGCTGAACTCCAGCCTTACTTGAAGTCATTTCAAGTTGTAGAGGCTCCTGTCCTGTACCAAAATTGCTTAATTTGATTTCACTGTACACTATGAGCTTCTCAAAGTGTGCATTATAAGCTGCAGCAATTCAGATAAAAGGTTGGACTTGATGGACTTATGTCTTTATTCAACCTCAAATACTATGTAACTATGTAAGATAAGGCCCACCTCATTTCTTGGGTGAAGAATGTCCAGTATCATCTAGCGCTTTCCTCTCCAGCCTGACTGTCCCTGGTCTGCCTCTTTCATGAATTGGATTTCAGTTATTTCAATCAATGAGGCTGAGTAATCATGTGGGTGTCACCTAGGGCAATCTGCATGCAAATACAGCCTTACTAGGGGCACCGCACTCCTCCAGACTGACATCCACCCATCAAGGCATTTTGATATTTGCAGAACTCTTCCCAAGAGCCAGCCCACTGCTTGCACCAGGGCTGAGGGTTCTTGGGAGGAGTTCTGAGGTAGGGTGATGCAATGCTTACAGGAAGCTAGGTTCAGCACCTTACTGTCTCCTCCCACCAGCCATGATATGCCTGCATTGCATAGAAAAGCATAGAGATACAGTAATAACATCACTGGGTTTAAAATAAGGTATATAGCAAAACGAGAATTCATGAAAAAAATAATTGCGTGTATTATTATAAATAAACAGTCATGTGCCGAGCTAAAATCAAGTAAGTTTGACACATCCTGTAAGGACTGTATTCTACTACATAACTTGGCGCCATCTGCAAACACAGAAATAGTACTTCCCTAACTCTGTGTCATTTATAGAAAGATTAAACAGTAGGGGCCCAACACTGAACCTTGGGGGACACCACTAACAACCTCAGACCATTCAGAGTATGAATCATTGATCACCACTCTCTGAATGCGGTCTTACAATTTTCGGCTGGTTTGTGGCATGCTCAGGAGACAAATGCCAAACGGGCCGGTGTGCGCATGCGCACACTGCCAGTTCAGCATTGCGATCATCGAAAGCCCGCCCCTCGATCTGCCTGTCCAAGATGGGCAGATCGTACGTTTTTTTAATTACTTTACAACCATCGCAAGACTAAGGTCTTGAAAAGCACATACAAATAATACGAACAGCGCTCTCGGATTGGGCCAAGGGAATAGGGTGCTGTAGCTCTACCTCGCCTGCAGCCCTAAGAGACAGGAGGAGTGCCTGCACTTGTGAAACAAAAAACAAACGTGAGGGCGCAAGGCTAGGGGGACTATGAAACTGATAGTAGCACAGTGGAGAAAGCAAGAGGAGATGGTTCACTTACTTTAAGTGGGTCTCGGGACCGGATGGATGTGACAGTGTGTCCGTGTCCCCGCTGAAGCAATGTGAAGTGCCAGTGATGTGAGGACTGACGTCAGGCTGGGCTGCAGCTGCGGGTGGAGGAACTCGGGCTGTGAGATGGACGTGTCTGGGCCAGTGTCCGTGCCGTGGTGATGATGCAGGATGGAGAATCGGCCGGGATGGTGGTAAGGTGAGGAAGGATCAGGTTGGTGAAGTAGTGGGTGGAAGCTCGGGAGCAACGCGTTTCGAGGATGTTACCTCTTTGTCAAGCTCATTAGGAATGGTGTAACGGCGGCGGGAAACCGCCGATTTAAATGTGACAGCTGGGCGGAGTTTGGAGGTGGTAGGCGGCGCCGTCGTGAGTGACAGCTGTTTGGTCTCGACGTAAGTCTGGGGATTCCGTGTGTGCCTTAGATGTGGGGATAATTGAAGGACTGTGACTAAGGCGTATAAGGGAAACGAAAACAATGGCTAGTTATATAATAAAAGTGTGGACAGTGAAACCCTGGGTGATTAATTAAGAGCGGCATGATACTCTTTAGTATGACGAACGATCTCTTGGGTCTAGCGGGGATGAGCAGGGCATGCAATAAAAAGAGTTAAAAGGTTCTGTGATGATATGCCGAGGCTGTGGCTCCAGGTATTGCGTACGGATATCTGCATGGATGTGTATACAAGAAGGGGCTATTATATGTTGATTCATAGCTTGGGGCTTATATTAAGGATATACTATATAGGGAGAAGTCTATTCAGTATTCATAGTGTAAAGGTGAAGATTATGGGGGTGAATTGGAGCCTAGATGGTAAAAAGTATAAAATGAATGAAACAATTTTTTAATAGATATAATTAAAATTTAAAAATTGTAGAATTTAAAAATATAAGAGTGTCGATAATGCCAATGGTGGGAATTAAAATCCATAGGGGGATGAGAAAGGAAACGGGGAGATGGGGCAAGAGCACTCAAGTGGTCCTGTTTCTGTGTAGGCATGCGGCTCGGACTAATAGTAGAAGCCTATGAGGGACCTGTGTTCGTGCTGATGGACACGAACATCTATAAGGGGGCGGAGCCAATTTGATCGAGTGTCCAGGGCCTTCGGTGGGCCTCAAAGAATTATGAAACGGTTAAAATTTCCAATTCCTCGTTTAACCCTGTTGGAGCGAGAGTGTTGAGTTTGTAGATCCAAAAAGTTTCTTGTCTACATAACTTTTGGAAACGCACGGCTGGGGAGAAGTGATCGGGGATGTGTTCGATAGCAAAAACACGTAAATCGAAGTGCACTAAGGTCTTGCGATGGATGTAAAGTGTATGGCCACCTTAAGAATTGATGCTGGTTTGAAGCCAAAGGGTAGTCACACCAAATATTGATTTGATTTAGATTTTTTTCTGTTCACTCACTTTGCATTGTGTTAACTGATACAAATATATATTTTTGAAAGTGTTCTTACTTTACAGCATTTTCTCACACCTGCCTAAAACCTTTATACAGTACTAATCCCTACTAATTTAGACAAAAACACAGAAAAAGTAACTGAACCTGAATCATGCAATTTGTAGATCACATCAGAATTAATTACCCTTTGTATGGCCATTATCACCCTGCCAAAGATGGGTTTTATATTGTCTTTTACTTACAGTGAACAGATAATCCGACACCAGGACAATCTAGAGAAGCAGTATACAGCCCTGAGGGACATGGCAGATGAACGAAGGAGGAATTTGGACAATACCTATCATATGTTTCAACTAAGGCGTGAAGTGGAGGACTTGGAGCAATGGATTGCAGAGAGAGACATTAAAGCCTCATCCCAGGAGATGGGTCAAGATTTAGACCACGTGACTGTAAGCACACTCTGAAATCGTTCTTATAGGTAATAGAGACTGGGGGGAATTGATCAAAACTGGAGCAGACAGAATCTGAAGCAGTTGCCCATAGTAACCAATCAGCTTCTCTCTTGAGTTTGTTGAGTTAAGCTTTGAAAATGAAAGATAAATGCTGATTGGTTGCCTTGGGCAACTGCTCCAGATTCTGTCTGCTCCAGATTCTGTCTGCTCCAGTTCTGATAAATTCCCCTCACTGAGTGTTCAAAACTATGAAGGGTGTCCCACCTAAACAAAAATTCCCTAACTCGGCTACTTTAAATTCCTCAGCTAAATAAGTTCCCATATACGTGCCCTAGATGGATGCTTACCCAGAGTTGATAGGTGTGGCCTACCAGGAGCCTAAAGCTGGCCATACACCTACAGATTATCTGCAGATTTTCTCTGGTCAGATGGAAAAAGTGCAACAGATTCCTCCATCCACGCTAAACTGTGTGGATGGAGGAATCTCCCACTGGGCCAAGCTTCAGTATCTTGCTAGTCAGCTCCGCTGGCAGTCAAAATACCTGAACAATCTGATTGGATGCAGGCATTGTTCAGGTATTTTGAGAGCCAGCAGTGCCGACTAGCAAGATACTAAAGCTTGGCCCAGTGGGAGATTCCTCAATCCACACAGTTTAGCATAGATGGAGGAATCTGTTTCCATCTGACTTTTTCCATCTGACCACAGAAAATCTGCATATAATCTATAGGTGTATGGCCAGCTTAATTTCTTCCACTGTGCTACACCTCGAGAGTATCTCAATCCTCTGGAGAATGTCTCATTATTTTCTATGGAAGTCAGCAGTGCATGGTGATAAATAAATTGGTTTATCTGTGTATATAGTAGTATCATCTTGATTTTTTTTTACATTAAATGTTTTGCAGGTGCTCCGAGATAAATTTCGTGATTTTGCCAAAGAGACAGGAATGACTGGCCAAGAGCGGATTGACAATGTGAATATCTTAATTGAAGAACTGATTGATGCTGGACATTCTGAGGCTGCAACCATTGCAGAATGGAAGGACAACCTGAATGAGAGCTGGGCAGACCTGCTGGAACTGATTGACACTCGTGTGCAGCTCTTGTCTGCCTCCTATGATCTCCACAAGTTCTTCTATGATGGCACAGAAATCCTGACCCTGATTGAGGAAAAGCACAAAGAACTACCAGAGGAGTTGGGTGGGGATGTACATACGGCACAGTCTCTGCACAGAGTACATACAGCCTTTGAGAGGGATTTCCATTTTATTGGGTCACAGGTATGTGCATATCTATAGATCAGTGGTTCTCACCTGTGTAACCTCAGGACCCACATTTGTCATTAAGTCGTGACCCAAGTCACACTCCAATGGAAAGCCCGGCATTGCGGTACCATAAGCAATGCATGTATGGATGGAGCTCCCTCACGGCCATAGCCCCATCTAATCCCACCTCAAGCTGACACTCTGCACCAGGAAGTATATTTTGAATGGTTGCTTGGCATGAGAACTTACAGTGTTGCGTTGAGGGAGGCAGAGCAGCCCCTCACCTTGTGTAGTGGAAGGCATGTGGTGACCCACTGAACACAGGGTCGCGACCCACTTTTGGGTCACGATCCACCAGTTGAGAACCAAGGCTATAGATCATTTACATCTTTTAGAAATCTTTTGAGTTTATGTCAACAAATTAAAGGTTTAGTCCATTACTGTGTGTTCTGTCATATCCTATTGCATTGTCTATGCCATATAAAATAATCCAGCATGAAGAATAGGATGCCCTCATAAGGTACACAGTGGGTGTGCAGACACAGGAATTTAAGATTAAAGATTTCACTAATACATTCCCTGAGTTACTGTCAGTTGGTATAACTCCAGCATCTGACAAACCTGACACATCAGTTGCAAGTGCATCAGTACACATGTATACCACTTGTAGTTATTGTTTGCTGAAAAATCACAGGCAAACTTTAAACCATATTTTACCATATATTATCTACTGTATATCCTTGCAGGTACAGGGATTTCAAGATACTGCAGCACGTCTGTACTCTGCCTATGCAGGAGATCAGGCAACAGATATACAGAAGAAAGAGAAAGAGGTGGTGGAAGCCTGGAAAGCTCTCCTGGATGCCAGTGATGGACGGCGTACAGAGTTGATAAGCGCAGCTGAGAAGTTCCGTTTCTTCAGCATGGTTCGTGATTTGATTTTGTGGATGGAAAGCATTATCAGACAGATTGAAACCCAGGAAAAGCCAAGGTAACTGTTCAAATGAACATATCTAGTTAGGACACCCTTATGACATGATCTTAATGTACACAAACAACTGTCAATTCTATATATGAAGACATTTTATACTTTGAACTATCAAAGAAAAGGTATTAAATAGTTAGGTTTTACAAGGGAACTTGATTATTTGTCAGTGACCCAATATTGGTAACTCTGTGGTAACCTGATTTCCTTCCTGTCTGCTTCCTCTAGCAAGGTATTGCAGATTAGGAAAAACATAGCTTGGATAAACACCTTTTTAAATATTTTCACTTCAGCTTTTGTTATTTTATTGGTTATGTGTTTAGATGAAGCTGTAACAGACTTACCTGGCCACGCCTTGGGATCAGACTCCAACCCCGCCTACACCTGCAGCATCATGCTGCTCCTCCTAAAGCCGCAGCTTTTCAAATGCTCAGTGTCTAGGCAATGTAATGGACGCTTAGCATTTCCCTGCACACAGCCTACCTCTCCATCTGTTCCATCCAGTCTGCAGTTCATCTGAGCACACCTTCTCATTCCCTGACTGCAAATGCACAGTAAACCCTCAGCACCAGGACTGCATGATCAGAGTTTGATCTTCAGCTCAATTAACCTGCCAGCAGAGGGAACCAATGTTACTCTGCCTCTCAGATTGCAACACAACCCAGCAATCCTTATCTTCCTGGACCCACTTCAGCTGATTCCTCCACTCTCATCTATGGAACATTTCCTCCAACTCCAGAGCAGCCAACCGCAAGTACTCCATCTATTAAATTGCTTATTGCTATTATTCCACTATATGCTGTTACATCTCTGGCGAGGGGTTACTAGTCGCTCTGTTCCCAGGGATATACTGTGTGCTATAAACCAAGAACTTATTCTCTATACCTATAGGCCCCTGACATCATACCTGTCATATCAGGATGTGGGTTAATTACAGGGCTCTATACCTGCATAGTACCATACAGGACCCACCATACCTGGCCGCACCATGGAGACGGCCATGGTCTCACACCAGAGATGTCACGCTTTTTATATAGGACAGGATGAAGTTAGGGGCACTCCTGTGGTTAAATTGTGTTGTGACAACGTACAATGCTTTGATTGTGTAACTACATACAGTTTGACAATGTTATGTGTTATGTACCTTTGTTTCTATTTTTTGAAAAAAAAAATTCTTGGAATAAAAACAGAATTTATAAAAAAAAAAAAAGAACTTATTCTCCTGTATGAAGCAATACAGACTGTTACTGGCTGAGTCTGAGTGCTAACCCTCTCATGTAAGGGGTATGATGCAATACCACTTGCTATAAACTAAAAGTACTGTTGCTTGATAATTCCACAACCCTGTATGAAGTAATACAGATTGTTTATACCTACCCAGGACTTGCATAATCTCATTACATACCCACATGCGTTTACATTGTGTACTTCTGAGATCCTCCTAATTAGCTGATTGCATATAGTTCCTTGAAGCTAAGAGATGCGCAGGAAGTAGTGCCTATCCACAGATGTGGTTCATACCAGGTTATAACTAAGTACCCTGCTAAATGCGTTACAAAAGCACTGAGATCTTGAGGAATGCTGAATTAAGTTTTACTTGCTTAGAAGAACATTACACATATGCATACACCATTGTGAAGAAAACATAAATTAAAAAAAAACTTCTTGTGTATCATAGATAAGTATGCACATAGAGACTAAAATTGCAATATACTGCCATCTACAGCTCAAAAGAAAAATTACAGTACATTAGTATACGCTGTAATAATTCCAACAATTCTTTTGTCCATTGACTCTGGCTTTTTCAACATCGACAATAAATGGAACTTAATTTGTTTAAAGCATAACAAAGCAAATGGGACAATTCAGAGAGTCAGGCAGTGAAGTGCAAACAGAATTCTTATAGGTTCTGACTGTGATCCTTCTTCTGCTTGCTGGTAGGGTCTTCTAGGTCCTATGTGTGAGGTATGATGGTTCATACATGCAATATTATACTATGATGTGCCATTCTTAGTGTTTCTATGTGATATTTTTTATAGAAGAAAATGAATACCTACATTTGATGGAATTCTCCCTAAAATGGAGAGATGTGAAGTGTAGTATGTGTTTGTGTGTGTGCATGTGCATTTGGGTATTTTGGTAATAGCTTTTAAACGGGAATTTTGAGTGAAGCATTCTGTAAGTGTTGACTTGGATGTGCTTATATCCATAGGCAGGTCCAGGTGTATTATGCTATACTACCCAGATATACATTTTCCACACTCACACCTCTGAAAGAGGAATTATGACTGGTTACTATGGGTAGTTTATTATTATTATTATTATATAGGATTTATATAGCACCAACAGTTTGCACAGGTGGGAAAGTTTAAACTTGCATCTTCTGCATCTATCACTTAAGAAATTGTTAGTTGTTATGAAATAAACCTGAATTTCTGGAAGGAAAGAGAGGATCCAGATACTTAATATTACACTCACAGCTTTATTATGATTTGATACTTTGTTTCACTTGACATGCTGGTGTTTACTCACTAATGTTACATTGATCACACATTTTCAGGAAATAATACTTTTTGATGTAACGTTGATGTTTTACAGAGATGTGTCATCTGTAGAATTTCTGATAAAATATCACCAGGATCTGAGGGCTGAAATAGAAGCCAGGAACAAAAGTTATTCCAGCTGTGTAGAACTTGGAGAATCATTACTGGCTCAGAATCACCCAGTTTCAGAAGAGGTAAGTACAGGGATGGTAGTGAAAAGGTATAATAAGTCAGGCTGGTCACCAATATTGTCCTTGAAATGTATGTAGTATTGTTTAGTAGAGCAGGATGCTAGAATCAGTGCCAGACTGGCAAATGTCTTTAGCTGGTCATATTCATTAAAATTTGATTGCATAATTTGCTTTAGATCTTAACAATAATATGTTGTTGATTCATTATAAACTGAATGACTTGTTTATGTAGAGCTTTATGTTTTAGTTTTGGTAAATTTAAAGGAAATTGTACAATTTGCAGCATGTATTCTGACTCTGATTGTTGTGCTAGTGACTTATCCCTTGTTGAGACCTCTATGCCTGGCCTGCATAAGCAGATTTCAATCACTGAGGACATTCATTGTCACATAGCTGAACTCACCAATACCGTTTCATCCACAAAGGTTGCTTTATTCTGTACATCAGACAACAGGATACAGCAGATGGATGGTTTTCACTATTATGTGGTCAAAAGATGATGCCTTTCCTAGCGTACTGTGCAGAATACACGTGTCCCTGTTACATGTGGCCTGTTAGCTGTGGCCATGACACAGGAAGTACTGACCCAGGAAGAAGGGTGGGGCATATACAAAGGGGAAATGTGTCATCGATCTCAGCAAAAGGAACATGAAAAACAAGTGCATTACCACAAAGGGTCACTAGATGGCAGCATATAACTTACTATATAAAACGTCCATAGAAAATGGTATAGAGAAACAATCTATATATATTCTCATCTACTAACAATGCTAATAACTAGGGATGCACCGATACCACTTTTTTAAGGCCGAGTACGAGTACCGATACTTTTTTTCAAGTACTCGCCGATACCAATTACCGATACTTTTTCTTAAAGGGACAGGTCACATTTTTTCTAAAGCAATACAAAATCATGATTTTAGGTCAGTTTCTTAATATTATGAAGAACATGAACACTCTGTAGTGTGGCACAGCTATATCCAGTTCTGCATACCGGGCTTTATATTATAAGAATTTTATAATATAAAACCCTGATTCGGGTCCCTGAAGATGGCGGACGCGGCACAGGTACATGTTTTATGTATCGGAGTATTTGCACGAGTACGAGTACTCATGCAAATACTCGGTATCGCCGCCGATACCGATGCTTGTATCGGTATCGGTGCATCCCTACTTATAACATATTCTGTGCCCCATTGGGGCTGTACACTCCCCGTCTGGCATTGATCCCGCCATGATTTGATAGAGGGTTGGAGGTAGGAGGCTGCTGTGGATTGTCTGAAGGTGGGCTAGGATGCATAGCTGTAACGTGTCTGTCGCTACTGCATTCTGTGCACTTGATGACAACTTTACAGTCTTTAGCAAAATGACTATAAGAAGCACAGCACCTGTAACATACTACAAGTTTCTGGAGAATCTCTCAGCGCTCTTGAAAAGTCTTTGCCCTCAGCTCACGACATTTCTTAAGAGGGTGAGGCTTCTTGTGAATAGGGCACTGACAATTAGGATCTTTATCTCTATCATCCGAATCACTCTGGTATGCAGGTGAGTATACGGGTGGTGAGATGTCTGCCTTTTTAACAGATATTGCTCTATGAAAGTCTGTGTTTAGCTGCTGTGTTTATCATACCTTGATGATGATGATGATGATGAAGCAGGCAAGTTGGGTTCACTGAAGCTGAAGCTGGGATCGTTTCTCATCTAGGCTTGATCACTGATGAACCTGCAAAAACGGAGGAAAAGATACGTTATAGTCTCTTTTGTACCTTGAGCACTTTTGCGCCCATCTCTCTTGCAGGCCATATGGCAGTTTAGACACCACTGGATTGACACCATGAGCAGTGTCCAGGAAACTTAGTCCAGGTAGACGTGGGTCTGTCTTTGCCAATGTCACACCCGCTGGGGTTCCTATAACCTGAAGTGGATCACAACTGCGGAACCAAGGTTTCTCGGTTGGGTATCTAAACGGCAATCAGTCACGAACCCCAGGCGTCACTCTCAATCAGTGGCGGAGAGTTTGGGGTTCTTGCATCATGAGCCGTAATAGCAAAAACAAAATAAGAAACTAATGAGATGGAGTTATTAGTTCATAACCCCACCTGGATTTATAAGGTCCTTCTTTTGGCAGTTTGATTAAGCCTCCATATATATTAGGAGGTTTTTTGGAACCAGAAGTAGCTCAATTAATACCCTTAGTGTTGGTAGTCCTTATATGACCGGTATAGACTTCACACTACTCAGGTTTAGGCAGTCCTTATATAGAGGCTATTGATATCACAATACTATAGGTTCAGACAGTCCATATATAAGTGCATACAGATCTCTCAATACTATAGGTTTAGGCAGTCCATATATGAGTGCATACAGATCTCACACTACTATAGGTTTAGGCAGTCCAGATATAAGTGGAGACAGATATCACAATACAATAGGTTATTGCAGCCACATGTTCCATGTAGTAAGCCCAGAGGACTCCCGGGTACTTGCGCTTTAGGTGCTGGGGTCAGCAAGGTCTCGGATCACATTTAGAGGTGTAGGGTAGTCCTCCCTGTGGTCCTGGTGAGCAGTCTGCCTGTTATGCGAGGTTCCTGGTTCTTTGGGGCATGAGAAACCCAATAGTGAACACCCTGCAGCGTTTAGATCAAGTTTAAATAGGCCGCGGCCGTGACGTCGCGCGGCCGCGGCGCACTTCCGCGTTCCAGCGTGGGACGCATAGTACCTCCCCTATTGGGGGAGGAACGCTCCGGCGGTTTCAGCGTCTGATGCGTTCCACTCTGGAACTCAGACTGGACGCGGCACGGAGCGGAGGGACGTTACAGCCAACTCTAGCTCCATGAGGAGGTCACTTAGATCTTGGAGCTTGCGATAGTCTTTGTTCCCTATTTTTGGGAAGTTTTGCAGTCTCTTGAATAGAGCGCTTTCTATGGCTTCTGAGCTACCATAGGCTTGCTCAAGTCTTGCCCATGCAGCAACAAGACCTGCATCTGGGTGGTCAACATGTACTGTTCTCAGTCTTTTAACACGATCTGCAGATTCTGGCCCCAGCCACTTTATGAGCAAATCAAGTTCCTCCTTGGTAGTAAGGTTGAGATCAGCAATAGCAGCCTTGAAGGTTGATCTCCGGGCCCTGTAGCTCTCGGGACAGTCATCATACCTTGGGAGGCTAGTGTTAATGAGCTCACGGCGTACCATATATCTGGCAAAGTCAGCCATGTCTGATCTCTCACTCTTTGGTGCCAAAGTAACTTGTGGAACCCCTTGGGTGTGAAAGTTCTCTGGTAAAGAAGGGTGAGGTTTACCAGGATAAAATGATGTTGCACGAGCGTTTAACTTTGGTGCAGTCTCTAAGGCTTCAGCTGGCCGTGGCTTGAGCTGCGGCTCGTCACTGGAAGTCACCTTGTTGTCAGCAGGAGGTGATGCGATTTGCTGCGTAGATGCACGTGTGTTGTGGATTTGAAGAGGCTCACGCATTTGAAGCTGAGAGGTCTCTGTGTTGAGAGCCAGAACAGTGTTGTTAGTAAGAGGTACAGGAGATGACTCTGTATCGTTGCAAACATTATGCCTTAGCACATATTCACTGGTGTGTTCAATTGGATCTTCCAGTTCTGCTGGAATAAGGCAGTCTGAATTAGTACTTTGTCCCATTGCTTGTTCAAGGACTTTCAGCCTTGCTAGGGAAGCTGCTTCTTCCTTTTCCATTTGCAGAATTTTTAATTGGGAATCTGCCTCTGCTTGTTGAGCAGCCATTTGTGCTTGAAGAGCCTTGCCCTGGGCTTCCATCTCTGCATGGCGAGCTTTGCTCTGGGCTTCCATCTCTGCATGTTGAGCTACCATCTCTGCATGGCGAGCTGCCCTCTGTACTTCTACCTCTGCTTCCTTTCTGGTAAAGGAGCTTTGCACCTTTTTTGATTCCGCATCAGCACGGGCCTCCATTACCTTGTCGCTTAATGTTGAACTTCTGGAGCGAGAGGATCTAGAAGAAGATGCAGTGTGCTTGGTTGATGTGGATCTGTGAGATCTGGTCTCCTGCAGTTGAGCAATGCGGAGTTCTGCATTATACTGAGCATTTTGCACTAAGAGATCCCTTTGTTGGTTCAGTGCATCCGCCCTGGTCAGTTCTGCTGAAGAGTCCTCTATATTACAGTCCTGCAAGAAAGCTGAATATTTTGCAAACAGCCGCTGATAGCTTTCATACGCTGCAGACAGGTGATCTATAGAGTCTCTTAATTCAGCTGGTTGATCATTAAAGTGTGACAAAACTGACATGCATTGTGAAGTTCTGTCCCATAGGTCTGACAGATTGCTGGAGAACTCATCTCTAGTGGCTTCATAGTTTTCTCTGATCTTCTGTGTCGGTTTTATTGTGCGTCCGGGTCTTACACTCTGTTCGGCAATGTCTGCAGAATCTGCTCCCCGTACGTCTGCGGGTTCAGAGGCATGATATATCTGTGTTGGTTCGGCCATAAAAGAGTGTTCAGAGCCTTGTCTAGACATTTTTCACGTTTTTTTGCAAAAAATGGTACTGTCTCTTTAAGAAGACGAACAGCAGGTTAGACAGGTGGGGTAACACAGTTCAATGTAGAGAAACAGTTTTCAACATTCACATGAAGTGCAGTAAGCTTGTGTGACCATGTGGCTGTATAAATTCTATACATCTTTTGACTATTCTGACTCCGATTGTTGTGCTAGTGACTTATCCCTTGTTAAGACCTCTATGCCTGGCCTGTATAAGCAGATTCAATCACTGAGGACATTCATTGTCAGATAGCTGAACTCACCAATACCGTTTCATCCACAAAGGTTGCTTTATTCTGTACATCAGACAACAGGATACAGCAGATGGATGGTTTTCACTATTATGTGGTCAAATGATGATGCCTTTCCTAGCATACTGTGCAGAATGCACGTGTCCCTGTTACATGTGGCCTGTTAGCTGTGGCCATGACACAGGAAGTACTGACCCAGGAAGAAGGGTGGGGCATATACAAAGGGGAAATGTGTCATCGATCTCAGCAAAAGGAACATGAAAAACAAGTGCATTACCACAAAGGGTCACTAGATGGCAGCATATAACTTACTATATAAAACGTCCATAGAAAATGGTATAGAGAAACAATCTATATAAATTCTCATCTACTAACAATGCTAATAACATATTCTGTGCCCCATTGGGGCGGCACAGCATGTATGGCCATTTTAAGAGTAATGGGCACTGTGAGAAATACCTGCCCATCTGTCCTTATAACAGAGCAGGGAAAGGTTTACTCTGCTCAAGCAGAGTAAACCTTTCTGGGAGAAAGTGTTTCTCTCCCGGAGACTCCCGGAGCGTCCGGGAGAGTTGGGATGCCTGAAATTTGGTCATAGTACTCCTCCTGCGGATTTCAGTTATTCACTCCAATGAACTGCTTTTACTGAACTTTTTCTACTGGCACTAAATGTTTTCCCCACATAATATGTCTAAAGTAGATACATTTAAGGTAAAGAAAGGTAAAAGGAAAATTAAATTTGGGTTTTTTTTGCTTGCCTCTTGGCAAAAAAGGATATTACAGTAGTGAGTATATTTGTCACTGAGTCTTTTTTGCGGGAAGTCTCAATGGGTCTAGGCCAAGTAGGGCAGGACAATAAAGGGATCTTTTGAGGTGCACATTGATGACAACATAAACGGCAAAGTTTATCTAGTGGCAATGCCCCCAACCTTCTACTAACCACCCAGGGCCTGCTGTAGTATTGAAAATGCACAACACAATCCAACATACTTTGGGTCAAGGGAATACAGACTGCGCAAGAATATTCTTTTATAAAATGTTTATTGTGGGATCACAAATGTGTGAATATATGAATATTTATGGTCTTTTTAGAGTACGATGCACCTTTATCGTATTGCATTCCTCTTCTTTTTTTAGGTAAAAGAAAAACTTGAACAACTAGCAGAAAGAAGAGCTGAAATGTTGGATAGATGGGAAATGCGTTGGGACTGGTTAAAAGTGTGTAAGTAACTGTATATAGTGCCACCTTGTGGTCAGTTAGCGAGTGTGTTTAAGCATAAGCACCACATTGGCCTACATTATATAGAATGTACTAATGTGTTTATGAACGTTAATGGGGTTGCTTTGAATTAAAAAATTAAAGTCCTGTTAATATTTCTGGATTGATTCAAAAGAAAATGAGGAAAAACTTATAATTTTTCGGTTTGTGTATTATTTGTGATTAACCACTTGAAGACCAGGGTGTTACACCCCCTTCCTGGCCAGGACATTTTTCAATATTCAGCGCTGCGGCACTTTGACTGACATTTATTCAGTCATGCAACGCTGTACTGAAATTAATTTCATACTATTTTTTGGGGACAGATAGAGCTTTCTTTTGGTGGTATTTATTCACCACTGCGGTTTTTATTTTTTAATATATAACAAAAAAAGTACCCTAAATTTTGTTTAAAAAAAACCTGTTTCCCAATGAAATGTTATGAAACATTTATTATCACCCCAATTTTTTGGTAAAATATAAAAGACACGGTCACGTCGGGTAAATAGACACCAAACATGTCAAGCTTTAAAATTGCGCACACCCACAAAATTGCAAAAACGACCACACCCAAAATTGTCCATAGGCGACGCTTTAAAAGCTTTTACGGGTCATCAGTTTAATGTTTTCAGTAATAATGGCCCTAAAATTATTGATCTCCTTCCGATGTTGGCGGCGATATGTAACATGTGCGGAATCGTTGTTGGCGCACCCGACGAATGTTTGCGTGTGTATGGGGGAGGGGGGG